ATCTTCATAAAAACCCTGTTAAGCATTTTTTCGGTATAAATCTTTGGTCTTGAGTTTAAATTTCCCCTGGGCTTGGCCAGCTGTCCTGGTGAATCCCAGCATCTCTGCAGCTGTCCAGCAGCCAGGCTTTTACATCCTCTCTGTTGTTTGCTATGCAAATGGGGACCTCACCTGAATGAAAAAGGCTTTTTATTTCAGAGCAGGGACCAAACCCTGCTGAGGAAAAACGCAAAGCCACCCTTGCATTTTGTTAAGGGGCACGTAGAGATTGGCATTTTATCATTTCATATCCTCCCCAAGAAATCTTTAGAGCTCTGAGAGATGGCAGTGGCTGCTGGCCCCAGTACAATTAGAATTGGCACCAGGCATCAGATGGGGATGCAGCCACACACAAAGGCCAGCCTGTTGCACGGGGATGTAACTTCAGCTCTGCTCAAAGGTCAACCACAGGAAGTTGTTATCCTAAAGGGAAATAAATCAGGTGGTTTAACTCTACGGAGAAGAGTAACTTGCTTTATTAAGTGTTGTTTTTGAGGCTGCACAGGCAACGCTTGAAAAATGAAGGGAGGATGGCGCCTGTGTTTTGCATTATAATTCAATTTAGCAATACCACACACACACACACACAAAGCTTTATTGCTAATGGATGCACCAAGCAGACCTGACTGCTCTACATCAACAGCAAAACAAAGAACTCCCCATCAGCAGTAGGCTATCATTAGCAGTAATGTTATTCCAAAGCGTGGTGTATCTGTCAGGCAAATGTAACTGCATCTGACATCCACCACGGGTCTATTTGCCTGGCTGAGATGATACGTTTCAAATTGAGGAACATCTGTTTCGGGCATGTGATGAATCATCTTCAACTATATTTCCTATTTCCTGCTATCCTGTGAGATCAGGCAGTGGAAAGGAGTTACATAACGCTGTGATTGTGTTGTTTTTCAGTACTACTGAAATTTTAGTTTCTTTTTTTTTTTCTGATCTGTGGCTCATTTCATGGTTTAAAAAAAAAAAAGAGTTGCCACAGAGAGGATATTTCCATTTCTAGATAGGAAGAAGCTGAAATATAAACTTATGCTATGGATATTCGTCCTTTCCTATTGACAGTAAGTCAGCTGAAATGGCTCACTCACCCCCAGACAACAGTTCTAGAGAGGTACAATATGATACTTTTGCCAGTGTCTTCTTCCTCAGCTGATCAGTTGTCTCACTGAATGTACTAGAATTGTAGCTGCTTGCAAGAGTGTGGGGGAATAAGTAAGTAACAAGGTAAAGCAGAAGTTTATATAAAATACAGAATGAACACTGTGAGAAGTTTGGTCATAGTGGAGTTTGGCAATGAAAAATAAGACCCTTTGATTGAAATGTAAAATTTCACACATCAAAAAAAAGGGATTAATATTCAAGCAAAGGGACCTGACAGCATATCAGCACAGCACATGTAGAAAATTTAATGTAGCACTAATGTGCGTGTCTTCTGCATTTAAAATGAAAATCAAGAGCTATCAAGAAGAATAGGGATGTTTTCAGTGGGCTGGATGGTGAGTAGCAATATGAACACCTTCATGCATGAGAAAGCACCATTTGCCAGCACCCTGAAGAGGATCTCTGTGTATTTAGCCTGTGCAACTGGTGATATAAAAACACTTGTCTCTCAGAGGGTGGTATTTATTGTATGCCAGTGATGTGCAGTGAGACAAAAACACACCAGGATCTTCTGTGCAGCCACAGGGGGCTCAAATGCTTGGTCTGTTGACTTTAAAAGGATGGTTTATAAAATAGCTTCACAATCCTAAAACAATAAAAGCATTTAGACTACTTGCTCAACTAGTGGAAGGCAACCAGTTCTGCAGGTTTTGGAATTCACTTTGGTTTCTGGACATATTACATTGTTCTGGATCACACCAGGCGGGTCAGAGCCAGGTGATTCTGGCTAAGCAGAAAAGTCTCTTTCAGTGGAAACTTCAGATCCAAACATGGATCCCAGCTGCCCTTAAATTCGTTGGAATCTGAAGTCAGGAATTTAAATTGGGCTCCTAGGCCATCACTCCAGTTAAGAGGAGTTCTGTCCCTGATTAGTGCAGATATTGCTGGCTGTGTGTCCAGCTCCCAAAACTGAATGCATCACAGCTGACCAGGAGCATTCCTCCAAAAGCAAACTGCCACATCAGCAGGGCATCCAAAGCAGCAAGAGCATCTACAGCAGCACCATCTGGTGTCCCTCAGTGGTTTTATCGTTCTGGTAAGTGTTGCAGATGAAGTTAGCACACAGAAATCAAGAGCAAATGAAACAGTCGCATCCTGTCATTGCCACTGCCCTGTCCCAACTCTCACAGTGAACAAATGATGCCATTTAGCTCTCTCCCTGTGATCTCACACTTGTCCACATCCAATGAGTTTAGGGTTTGCTTTGCTTTCAAAAGGAGGCTGATTTATATCTTTTTTCCTGCAATCAAACTTGGGCTGCGTGAGAAAAATCAGGAAACTGTGCAACCGCCTGTGCAAATCAGTCTTCAGTTAAGCAGGTTTTTGATCAGTCTATCCCAGGTACACCTGGAAAAGTTGCCTGTCACCCACTCTCATGCTTGGCTATTTCCCAGAGGTACATCTGCAGCCCCTTGTGCTCTCAGGATATAAAGAAGTGCTTTCCTCAAAGGATGCACATCTGAAATGCAGCAGATCTCAGTGAACTGGACATTAGACAACACTAGGGAAATAATTCTTCAGTTCCCAGGCAATGACCTTGGAAAAGTGAGTTTAGTGCTTTATTCATCTCTACTGGCTATAATATTGTGCTTTATTAAGTGTGTGCAGTATCCCATCTAATGGGGACCAGCCTCTACATATCCATGGACAACAGCTTTATTTCTTTCTAAATGAGTGTCTCCTGTGACTGAACTCTCAAGGAACACTATTCTTGAAATTAATCTTGAATGCTCTAATTAGAATGGTAGTGGTTACACAATTCTCTAACGGCTACTTTGAAGAAACAATTACTGTCTTTATTATGATAACCCTCCAGATGAGATACTGCAGTTGACAAAAGATTATTAAACAAGGTATTATTCAGTCACTGACTCACTCAGGCAGCAGCTTGTGCATGTAGTGATGAAGGCCAACATGCCAGCACTTAAAAGTGTTGTAATACAGGGCTCAACTTTTTAATGCTTTTTGGACAGTACAATACTGCAATAGACTGGGGCTTTTTTTAGTAAATCAATGGTAATTCAACTATAATTAGATCCTCATAAGAATGTAGAGGGTGTGATCAGCATACAGAATTGTAAACCTTTTATTTCATCTATCTCAGAAATGAGCATAGGAGGTCAGAAAGTGAGACAATGGGCATTATTTCCCAGAGTAAAGAATTGAGTTAATCCAATTTGTGTCTCTTTATAGGTAAAGTCATTAGTCAATCAGAAATGTGACTGTAGGGTAAACAATGTCAAGTCCATGGTAAAGTCTGAAAGTAACAATCGGAAGGAAAAATGAAATCCTGGTTATCCCAATGAAAGCAGTGTTATTTGGGCTAAAATAATTTTTAATTCTACAACCCTTGGGTTGTATCTACTTGTAAAATATCTTGGTAAGAAAGGCATTGCAGGAATGTAAAGATATTATCATGAGACTACCTATAACCACTTTGCTCAGCTCTTCTCTCTAGGGGTAGCTGCTTGAATAAGTGAGTAGTCATTGAGATTTTGAATTAGTTTTGTGTATTATACCTTCACTGGATAGTTCATTTTCCTCTGCTGTGGATAACACAAAGATCCTTTCTAAAAAGACAGTGCCCCAAGTTTTCTAATCAGATTCTTATACCCTGGTGACTCTGCAGAGCATTTTCTAATAGAATTGAGGCACGGGCTATGGAACCAGAATAGAACAGGCTATTAAAAATGTTATCTCTGTGGAAGCTTATAATAACAATACTAAAACAATTCCATGATAGAGAAGAACCCACTTGGAAAAGAGATTCATTAAGTCAGAGTCATTGCCACTCACAAAAAGCTTCCAGTGAGAGAGAGTGATCTATAGAAGGAAGGTCTTGTACCAAGGAAAACAGCTACCTCTATAAAGGCATTATTCAGTATATTCAACAACAGCTCTTAAAAAAATCATCCAATAATGATTAAATCACTGATGATTGTTTTATCTGATCTCAGATTGCCTGTATAATTACAACAGTCATACTTTGGATTCTCTAAAAGTAGGCAATAATAACATAAGAAATCTAAAAAGTAATTTTCTGCATTTTGACGTCCTTCAGTGCTCTTTTCTTTCACTTGAGCCATGTGCTGTGTTGGCAAGTCTCCATCCAAGTGCTGGATGGTATCAACAGACCGTGCTGGATTCTCAGAAAGAGGACATGGAGAGAGCAGCTGCAGATTTCATCTGGTATTGTCAGGGCATTATCACACTCCGGCACCATAAGGTTGCAGATTAGTACGTGCTGCTGTCAGTGCTAAACTGGACAGAATTCTGTGGCTCCCCTGTAAGGTATTCTGGGAGCACAAAGTGAGGGGGTTTAACACGCTGAGTTCTCCAAAGTGCCACAGTTCATCTCTGTAGACAGATAAACAATTCTCCAGAGATATTTTTTTTCCTCTTCCAGTAGCACTATTTGCCTCTTTCTAGTTGAAGGTATTTGTGAAACAAAACAAAGCTTTGCCAAAATGGCCCACTGAATACTCACACCCTTGCTGTGTTCACTGATCCTTCCGTTGCCATCACCCGGCATTTGGGGAGATGTTCACAATAATCTTTTATCTTCACCTACGTCTTAGTCACTTTAAAACATGCAGTGAATGTGATATAAAAATCCCCACGACAAACGTTTAAGTATCTCGGACAAATAAAGTGCATGTGCCCAACACTCCACACCCGTCCATCAGCGCTGGGCTATCACCAGCCCTTCCTGGGGAACAGTTCCTCATTCATAGAAGATCTGCTTAGAAATTCATAGCCCACTTCGGCCCATTACTGTGAGAAAGCCTCACCGGGGTTATTGAATGCTGTCCCTTCTCAAGGTTACGTCCTTACAGCGGTGTCGCGCCCGGGGTACTTCGTTTCCTAAGCAGCAATTTGGCAGTTTGCCCTCGCGTAGCCGGGTAACAGTTCCTGGGTAACCACCAGGATTACTTCAATACCTTCAGCTGGGGCTTAGTCACCGAAGGAGTTCTGCTAAGAGGCTAATTAAAAAGTTCCAAACCGCACTTACTTGATCGCAAAATATTGTTTGTTCACTAATTCAAAGACATAAAGATCGCGGGCCCAGGTGTTAATGCAAAAAATAATGGGTTTCTTTTTTATGCATGTTCCCAAATCTAAACTTCCACACCATATAATTTACATAAATCCAGATTAGTTTCTCTCAGGAGGAACAGCTACATTGCTTGCAGCACATTCTTTCTGTCTGGGAGTCTTCCCAGCCTGTCAGCTCCGGAATTGACACATTCTGGGAAGCCTCTCTTGGCTCACCCAGAGCTCTCCCTCCCTTTTCTAGTTCTTTGAGGTTTTAGGCTTCTTTGATCCCCCACTTAGCCTTGGGAAGAGCACCCACTGTAGCCTGGATGGAGCCAGCTCATTAGTTTTTCTCCAAGTGATGACCCAGCCATTATCATCGGAGCTCCTTTGAAGCCACCTATCTGAAGATATTCTTATCTGTGCCATTGCCTCGCATTTCCTCTTTGCTCCTTTAACAACCTCTGCTTTGATTTAACTCTCTCCCTGCCGGCAGGAAACAATGTTGTTTTGAACGGGGAAACATTTATAACAGGCATGAGGAATGTATTCCTGGTGAGAAAAACCTACTTCCTTTTTTTTTTTTTTTTCCAACACCTGTTTCAACTTTCCCCTGTTATTCTGAAATCGGAGAGGTAAGAGGGAGTGCTTAAGGATTTCCACTGGGTCTGATTTAACACACGTGTGTGCAGAGGAGCTGGAAGATCAGAGCAACACCTTTTGTTTTCTTTTCTCTGCATACTTATGTGCGTGGTCACATTCTGTGGTCCCTCTTGGAATATTGCAAGATTTTTATAAAGCCATAATCATATATAAATCATCAATTAGCAAATTTTCTCCAACTATCCCAACAGTTCTGTTAAATCAGGATCAGGAATCCTACTGAATCCTTTTCTTGGACTCAGTTGTGAAAATTGTGTGCAGTCCTGTCTCAGGCAACCTTCTCACACTGGAAAATCAAACAGGTCATTCAAACAGCCACAGAGAACACCAGTTTGGAAAGAACCAAGATAATGTCTGAGTTTTAAAAGATCTGAGCATCACCTGCCTTCTTTCCCTCCTTAAAATCAACTATAAAAACTCCCATAAACTCCACGGAAGAAAGTTTAAGAAAATGTTCAGGTATTCTGAAAACACCCTCCAAAATCTCTGAGCAACTACAGCAATTTGCAATGATACCTTTAGGTGTGAAGGAGGCATTAGTATCTCTGTTACAAGATATGATATTTTGTCCTTGTTGTTCTTCTAGATAATTTAATTACAAAAAAACCACGAGTTATTTTCCCAGATTTGGTCTGATTGAAATTAAATATGAGCCAGATGGTTTGTAAACATTTTGAAAGTGTAAATTGTTGACGTAAAAAAGTGCAAAAGTCACAGGTAGGCAGCGATCCTATCTAATGAAGTTAGAGACAGGAGACTGGAAGCTTTGGAATGAGGTGCTCTTTGTAACAGAAGTTTAAAGGAACAATGCCTAATGCTGAAGAATAATTTCACAAAGAGCCAATCATTCATTCTCCCACAGGAAATATTCACTTGAGGTTTGGGGGAAAGTACAAAAGGGCTAAATCTCTCCTGCCTTGAGACTAATGCTATTATTCAAACAGTAAAATATACATGAAAAAGGTATTCAGTCATCTCTACTCATTGCCAATTTTCAGGTTTTCTTCTGAGATCTACTCAGTATATATTTTAGTTACAGTGGTGTAAGTATGTTTGTTATTCTGTTCTTATGTTTGTTGGGGTTGCCTTTAAGGTTACTGTGGTTTTTTTGGTTATGGGACTTGGGATTTTATTTTGCACTTGCAGGTTTTTTTGCCACTACCTTCAACAATTTCAAGATCAGTGCCCTTTCCTGAAATTTTATATATCCCTCTATGCCTCTGTTTTTATTGCACATCGAGGCTCATTGACTTTTTATGGCTGCCACTGTGGCAATTTAATTATTCCCTAATTATTATATGAGTGGGTGTGACTGTGTTGCACCACAATCTTAAAACATTACATCAGGAGTGGAACACAGCATGAACTGATCAAACATGTTCCCTCTTTGATGAATGTGTCCTTCCCTCTATGTCAGGCTGGGACAGGAGTGAATGGCAAATTATTGTCATCATCATGGTGGATGGTCATGAAGAAAATGGCCTTCTGAGTGCACTGATTTACTTTTCACTACAGTTTCAGTTTAACACACCATCTTACTTGGGACATGTTTTCTTCCCTCTCTTGATCAAGCACATTAGTTATGCAACAACTGTCTGAAACTTCTGTAGTGGTTGAACTCCATATTCAAGACTCTCTCTGGGTCTAGGTAAAGACTACAGAATATTGACTTTCCCCAGGGAATATCTCCAGCAGAAAGTTTCTCTTACAGAGATAGCTTCAGAGAAAAAACCAAAAGTAATGTATTTTACTGTCCAAGGAAAGGGAAATCACCAGAATTTTAACCAGAGAACTAACTTGATTGTACAGAACACTTGAAACCTTCCCACGGCCTCCAAAACAAGATAACTACTCTGCAAGCTTGCTTTCTTCTCCAAAATAGCTTTTTCAGGCTTGCTCATGGTCTCCCTATACCTAACTGATAACTCATCTCAGCTGGGCTTCCATCCAATGTAATATCTGTGTTCTGAGATTGTATCACAAACCCATGAGGGATTAGCAAATCACAGATGTGGACTTTCTTACAGTGTGGAGCCAAAATGTCTCACTGATTTCTCTGGACACCTAAGTACCTTCTGCAGTGTTCTCCCCTGGCTTTGGGACAAGTGTGAGCTTTGTTTTCAGGACTAATTTCGATTTTCAGGTAATATCTACAGATAACTTCACATTAATGGTACATAAATACATATCTGGGTCCAGCAGCTGATATAAACCACCATTTTTTCCCAGATTTCTGTGGTCCATGACGGGAAAGAAAAAGGGCAAGAATAGCTCAAATGTGACATTCAGTTAGTTTGCTTGATCCACTATAGGAACAGACTTAAGTGTTGTCATGGTGGTAGTTATATAAGGCCCTGCAGAAAAGAAAATAGAACACGAGCCATACAAGCATTTCTAAAGTGCAAACATTTAAATAGCAGCTTCTGTTTAGTTTGTAGTGTTTTCTCACCTCCTCATTTCAGTTACAGCTCTCCCACATTTAATTAGCTCCCTCCAACTGGAGACCTCATCACGTCATCCTTAATGCATGGTCTGTATCAGATGTTCTACCTCTAGCAAATATCTGCTTGTTTTAATTACGGATAACACTGTTGCAGTAATAGAAAAACGTAGAGTCCCTGGAAAACATAGTTTTTCATAATTCAGAATAGAATTTGAAACACAGGGCAAGAAATACAAAGTATCCAAACCCCCCCCAGTTTTAAATGACTAAAAGGCTTCGGTGAAACGAAATAATATTTGCAGCTCCCAACGATCATCTCCCATGTTTGCTCCAATGTGTTAATGGCTCAGGCAATTTAATTTACATACAAAAGTACCAAGTGGAAAGCAGTTTCCTCCCAACACCTGTGGTACTTTTTCTGGGTATATTAGGGTGTATTGTAAGTGCTTCAAATGAAGATATATGAGGAATGTACTAGTAAGAGTTCATTAAATTCTTTTACTAAATGCTAAACAATCGTGTTTAACTTGAAGGTTTTCATGTTCAAAGAGATCCTACTTTCATCTTGTAAGTCTCTAAAGAAGGCTGCGGGAGAAAAGGCTCAAATAATGTACCTTTCCTTTTCTTTAACTTGAAGGACAGTAAAAATCCTTCCAGACAAAGCTTCTTTCCCTTCTTTCTTTCTTTCTTGTACAGAAAGAATATGCATATTTTATCACACTTTCTTCTTAAACTCTTTCACACCTACCAGGAGATGTCTGTACTCCATCAACATGCGGTCTACTAACTAAAAAATACCGACTATATTTAACTGATTTCCATAACAAAAACCCCCGAATTGAATAAACACTGATTTGAGAACTGTTGATGCCCGAGCACTTCACACTTGGGATTGTTTTTCCAGGGTTCTGCACACGAACTGGTTTTGTGGAAAAGACAGAGGTGCTTCCATCCATCACCTGTATCAACTGTTTTACACGAGGAAAGAACCAAAATTTTTGAGAGACTGCTTGATGAACCCCCCAGTGGACAACTCTCACTAACCAAGACAGGGCAACGAAGTGCTGCTGACCACTAAGAACTCAGTGCTGATGCCAGGGTGAAGAATTACACTGGGAACAGTAGTAGAAGATGTTGCTGTTGGATTTAACTGAGCCCCCACCAACTGACAGACAGGTGAACATCTTGAAAATGGCTTATTCACCTCTTCATCGGCCTTTTTTTAAAATTAGAATGAAATCCATTCACAGCCAATAAAAAAGCCCAGCACTTAGTGATGCTCTGAAGTGTAACTCCAGCAGATGCACCATTGCCATCACACCTCACACCCCATTTGTTTGAAAAGTAGGACTGGAAAAAAATGTAGGGACAGAGAGTGAGGTTTTCAACTTGACCTGTTGTTTAGAATTCCATCAAAAGAAATTTTGAAACAATATAAGCCCACACTTTTTGTTTGATCTTTTAATATATTCATATTTGCAAGTAGATAAACTAATTAGGAAAAGCTTTAAATCTCATGTCAAGGGGCTGAAGATTTGAGGAGCTGGCCCTAGAAAATGGTATTGGTCTATTAGTAAATATCAAGGACATTTTTTCCCAGCTTTGTTAAATGCTTCCATTAGCAGAAAGTGTATTATTTTGCAGTCAGAAGGGTGTTACCTTTTAGTTGTGTGGCAACAATAATAAATCCATCCCCTTTTAACAGCGTTTATCAGGTAATGATGGTACTTTAATAAATAACAATGAGCTC